TAGTTCTGATGTGCAGAACAAGATTGTTGAGCTTCACAAAATAGAAAGTGGCTTTCAGGAAAGAGCTAGAGTATTGAAAACGCCCATTTCCACCATCAGGACAATAATTAAGAATTTCCAATCAACTAAAGATGTTACAAATCTGCCTGCTCATCCAAAAGCAAACTCCAGCATATTAATTTGCCAGACACCCACTCAAACTTCAAACAGGACTGGTTTCTATGGTCAGATAAAAACTAAAAATTTGCTTTTTTAGCAGCAAACACTCAATATAGGTTTGGTGCACACAGGAGTAAAAAAGTCCCCCGTGTGTGCAAAGAAATATACTGCTGGATCTTTAATGTTGGTGTTTCTTCAGTGTTGTCACATGAAAAGATATAATAAAATATTTACTTTATATTTACTAATTAATATTATTATATTTATTTCCTTTTACTTTTCCATGTGCAACATGGACATTAAGGGAGGCACTACTTGCGGAGCTCTGGTGAATCATTGGTTGAGAGCTCACACGGAAGCATCAGATCAAAATAACGATAGAGATCGGAGTTTGCTACGGGATGTGTTAGATCAACAGAAGAGTTGCAAGATATTTTCACAGATTCACATTATGTTGAATTATTTTATAGTGACTGAATTCAGTTACTTACCCTCGTAGTTTTGTCATTAAGCCTGGAACCATCAACGTCGTTGATGAGTTTCTAGGTTGATGACGCCTCTAGACACACTTGGTGGAGGTTTCTAAGGTTTGTGTTCATTTTGTAATTACAGAGAAAAGACTCCCAAAAGCATTGTGAGCCTAAGTTTATTGTAAACCAGTTGCATCAAAGGTTTGGAAATGTGACCCACTGGCATAAAGTTGGCTTGACGTTGGACGTTCGATATTCGCAAGTTTCGCAATGATTCAACGGAGCTCCGCAAGGATCGCCTCCCTCATTTCCATGTTGCACAAGGAAAAGTAAAAAGAAATAAATGAATAAATAAACCTGGGAATAAATACATGTGAGAATAAATGAAATTAAAAAAATAAATAAACGCATGAATAAATACATTTAAAAATAAACAAATAAATCATAAATCAATAAATTAAATAAATATAAAAATAAATGAGAGAATAAGTAAATAAAAGTTAAAAAGAATAAAAAATAAATAAATGCATAAAATAATAATACATAAAGGAAAAATACATCAAGGAAAAAAGTAATAAAAAATAAATTCAGGGTTAAATTTTATTACAAATTAACTGTATTTGTTTTTATCAAGCCATTTATTTCTTTATTTATTTTACTGTTATTTTATTTATTAATTTATCTATATATTTGTTTATTTATTTTTAATTTCTGCAGGTTTGGTCCTCCATAACAGTCCTTAGTGCAATCCTGCCATGTAACTCGCATATGAATGAATTGAAAATGCCCACTCACTTTTTGCTAGTGGCTTCATACAGTAACAGAGAGCAATTCTTTGAGCGTGCTGGAGAGAGATGGAGACACGGATTGTGTGAAAATGCACAGCTAATGCAGTTCCGGAGATGCATGTTTTTCTAATCTATCTCATGCCCAGTTCTTAACCCCAGCTATGAAATAATAATGAAACTGAAATAGTGAAACTCCTCCCAGTATGCCATCTGTTGTTGCAATCACGTTCTTTATTTCCATATTTATTCTGGCATTTTAGCATACGTCCTGAAATCAGTCTGACCCACTTCCCACTGTTTTGAGAATTTTAAAGAGCTGTAGTCTGTCTCTCCTTGACTGTGATATTCATGTGAGTTCTGCATTGTCTTCCTTCTATAAAATAGCACAATGAAACATCTATTTGCATCTTTAAATCTATTTTGAATAGGCCTAATTCTGCAGATTTTTGTCCCTAATAATGCTCATTAGGATTCATCCAGGCTGCTGGCATTTAATTCTAGCATTTAATACAATTTATAATATTAGCCTCTCAAATCTCTCTGAATAGTTACA